CTAGCAGGGGAGGATGGGAGTAATGCCACATAGAAAAGAGCCAGTCTGCTACAGGGAAGCCTAGGTTGTCCTTATTGAGCTTGATGAGAGCAGAGTACAGCTCAGACGATCGGCCCATACTGCGCGCGAATGCATCTGCCTGAAACTCAAACCTTCGGCTCAACACCGTCAAACAGAACGACAGCAACTGAAGTGGGAAAAAGGTGAATTGGATCAGATAAATCTGAATACCCAGAAAATGGTTGTATTTAGATTTCTGCAAATGTATTGCCATATCTGCTTCCCAGGCTCTATTAAATGGCAAATTGAACAAATAATACAATAAGTACAAATATTTTATCAAATTAAACTGGGGGGGGGGACTAATTTTTATATATACAACTTTTTTTAATTATTGTTTAAAATGCACTTGTGAGAAATACTGTGAAAATATTTTTTTTCTGGGTCCATCTTATAAAATAAGTTCTAAAAATCGTTGTCTCATAACAATAAAAATCGGGCAGGCCAAAAACACATTTTACAGAAAAGTTAGTGCTACGGTATTGGCATTTTGGTGGCTCTTTGTCTTTTAATAAATGCTAATTCCCTAGAGTCAGTCTAGTATGGCTATAGGACACCTTGTATACACAACTTGATTACCCAGAAAATGACCATGTCTTTCACAAATGTACTGTAATGTCCTACATATATTTCTAAGCAAAAATATTTACACAGAATGTGCATGGTTGGCAAACAAATCCCCATGTATTTTTCAGAGAGAAAGAAGGAGAGAAATGCAAGTGTTACCTCATTGTAAGGTGAGAAGATAAACTGAAAGATGATCATTAGCCCGATAAGAGTTGGTTGGGTGTCATGAAAACCAAATGCCATGAAGAGCTCTTTTCGTCCAATCAGGACAGCAAAAAGGAAAAAGCACAGGAAGGAGTTCATCTGTAAAGAAACAGGGAGTCATTAACATCCTCAAATTATGATCCTCTGTTCATACGCTCTTAAAATTGTTTGCTTATGGTGTCTTATGTTTTCATCAGCTACTGTTCAACCTAATAAGATTCTACTTTCACAACTGGGTTAAACAACATTGCAGAAATGTGCAGTGACAAAAACAACTGATAGGAAGGGGAGAAAAATAGGAAGAAATAGGAAGGAAAAAAATACCAAATGTAACTTTAGGAATCTATAACACTGGAGTTGAAGCTGTAAAGCACAGCCACACAGCAAGCAACTCACCTGGCTAATGACAATGTTCTTGACTGTATGGCCTAGTTTCCAATGTCCCAGTTCATGTCCAAGAACTGCCAGAACCTCAGAGTTACTGCAGCCCTGTTTCTTGTTCTGAATACAGACAAAAATGTAAAAAAAAAAAAAACTTAAAAAAAACAACCATAATTGCCTTTAATCTAATTTGTTACTGATCTGGCTCTGACCCTCTGACCTTTGGTTTGGTCTTGCTCTCATTGCCCGCCGCTTCGTTCTCCTCTCCCGTTCCTGGCTCTTTCTCTCCGGGTGTATTTAAAGGGGAGTAATCCTCCAAAAGCGTGTCAAATAGCACAATGCGCTTGTTTTTGAAGAAACCATAGAAGTAGGCATTACTGTGGGAAGATCTCTTTGAACCTAGAAAATAAAGCACACATATATTAGGGGAAGGGAGATTATATTCATGTACGATTAGAGTTCTATAGAAAGTAATAAAAAGGCAAAGATGATTACGGCTTGCTGTACCTTCCACTACATAGATCTTGGTGAGGGGGAAGCAGATGGACTTTGCCATGCTCTCAATCTCACTCTTCAGCTCTCCATCTGGCAGTGGAGTGAATTTATCAAACAGTGGGGCGATGTAGTCTGCGTAGATAGTCACCAGAATCTGTAGAGCAAAATGGGAGGGGACAGATCAAATGCACTTTTTCTTTTTCTCATAGACAACACATTCATCAAAAGCCAGGAAAACTGACCAATGAGACGATGAGTGTGAAGAGCCAGGCATAGATGAAGAAGTAATCACCACCGATCTTGATGATGTAGAGGAGCAATGATGTCACTGGCAACAAAATACACTGAGTCACAGCAAACTTCTTGAGAGCGTCTTTCAGGAAGAAACCCACTGTCTATAAAGAAGGGACAGAAGAGACATTTCAGTATATTTTATTTAGTTAGCTTTATTCCTGCTATGACAGAGAGATAGATATGACTCATGAGCAAGACTTTATCTACCTGCTGGTTGAATCCATGCTTCTCCTCAATAACAAATGTGTTGTAGAGGCTCCAGGGAAGGCCAGTAAAAGCACTGAAAAGAGTTGCCAACATCAGGAACACCAAAGATTGTGAGATCTGAAAGAAAGAAGACAATTTTAAATAATGCAGTGCCTTTTGGATGTGTTCAGAATAGCATAGTAGTACACAATTCCTTTTAATTATGTAGTATATAGTATGCACAGTGAACAATTTCTTTTTTATTTTTTACTAATAATTAGTTTGGACTGCCAAAAGCAAGACATTTTCACATTAAATATCCTTAAAAATGAAAACAACCAACTTTTCAAGATGTTAACAGGACACCATTAACAAGCTCCATGATGAGGTCATGTGATAACAGGACAATATCTACTGCTTCCAAACACACATTACACAACTTTTATGGAGATTTCTGCAGTCTGGAGAAGCCATCTACCGAAAATCAGATTTTGGCCAGACAGAAAACTGTATTGTACGATGGGCACAAACTTTTTTTTAGTTCCAAACTATGATTCCATCCAGTTGGAGAATATCATACATGTTTGATATTTTGAGCCAGTTTTAAATTAGAACACATATTGTTTATTTTTTTGCTATGCATCTGCTAGCAACATGTCACATGTTTCTGCAGGAGTCTGTTGTGTTCAGAACAACTTAAAAGTCTGGTAGTGTGTGACTCTCAGTTGTTTAATGTGTGTGATGCCCAGATTTTTCTGTCACCATTTACAAAATCGAAAAGCATATCATGCCTAATATCTTAAAATTTGTTCACAAATCTGTGTAGTGTATTCCAGCCTTCAGTTTCACAGAGTCTAATTCAGCTGAAGTTCACCATATAAACATGAGTAAAAGCATACTGACATTTGAGAACAAAAGGATCAAAGATCAAAATCAGGATCAATTTTGCTGGCCAAAATTCACACATAAATGAGAACAAATTCTACAAATAGTGTCAAAAAAAAAAAAAAAAACTATTTTCCACAACAACAAAAAAAGGTTCCAGAGAATATACCTACCTCGTACTCTGGACCAAAACCAAAACGAGCTGTGAGAATCCCTGACACTTTCCAGAGGAATGGGATTCCTCCCAGGAGCAAAATCAGCTAGAAAACAGAAATAATTTAAACATGCTCAAAGAGAAAGACCCAAATGCAAGTGGGAAAAAAAAGAATCTTGAATGAAGTTCATTAAAAAGGAAAAAGAAAAGAGTTGCAGGCTTAATTAGAATGAAACCATAAGGTGCATTTTTTCCCTCCCAGAGGACTCATGAGAAACTTGCAACTGAAACCTACAGATGTTACGTTATCTGCCTTATACTTGGTTAGAAAACAATAACTATCAATCAAAATAAAAAAGAGAGAAATTATCAATTAAAAAATACATAATTAAATAAACAAATCACGTTACTATTTACAAGGCTGTTTTAATTTAAAACTTTGAAACTGAAATGAAGCTCACCGTGCCCTCTGCCTCAGAGTAGAGTCCAGACCAGAAGCCAAAGTTGCTCTTGTCCAACTGATAGAGACGAGACTTTTCAAAGGTCTCTGAATCCATTATCTTGCCCAGCTCAGTGGGCACATGCATTGTAGTCCTGTAGATCTTCCTCTGTGAAAGGCAAAACGTGTGTTGGTTTATACAGGGTCCAGAGTAGTTCATCATTTCAGTACATCACAATGCATTTGCACAAAGCTCTAAGATGAGATTAATTTGGATTTGAACAAAGTCTACAAATTAGAATAGAACATCATAAAGGCATAAAGTGTCTGCCTTTTAATGTTTTCAGAAAACACAACCAAGATAAGCAATAAGCATATACTCACCTGTCTACATGCGAGGTAGGCCTCCCAAGTATACACCGTCCATGAGAAAACCAGGACAGCGTAAAAGATTTTGTCTTCAACTGGTGATGCGAGAATTTCCTGCAGCATTATTACGGCTTGGCAGTTAATTACCGTTATTTGTTGGACCCTTTAATAAGCTCCGGGATTTCCAGTAATTCCGCTGTCTGATAGTCATTCAAGACAACAGATAATCGTCGTACTTATTGCGACCCAATACGAGACTTGAAACTTACAAGAATGTGTATGTGTTAAGTCCATATATTGAAAAACTACATGCAGGGAGCACAAACAACGATAACTCATGCTCTTATCACTTCCTTTCCCATTCATGGGAAATAGGGTGTAACTAGAAACTGTGTTCGATCGGACACAACAGCACAACGAAACGGGTTCCTGTTTTAATTATACAAACAGATACAGATTAATCAAACATTATGTTTGGATAAAATATTCCACTACAGTAAAATTGATACGGACAAAATTCAGGGCTAAATACACCAAATAAATAATTAAGTTATCATAAAAATTACATTAGACACTTTCGTAATATAAACGTACGAGAGACGTGTTTCTTTAACTATGGGCACCTTTATGCACATGGGTTTCATACAGTCTGGTTTACAGTCATACGAACAAACTTTTTTATTTTTCAATATCTTAAAATGAGACGCGATAGTTAAAGAAAAAACTAAAAGGTAAATATAACCTATAAATAGAATATTTTATTGTGATTCGTTATAAAAAGCACAATACCTTAGTTTATGCAACTTGTTTTGAGTACAAGCTTACATCAAGGAGAGAGCTGACGAAAGGGAAAAGGTCAGGTGAAAATAAAGGTAAAAGGCAACTCTTCATGTAGATAAAAAAAATGTATTTCCCGACTATATTTTTTACATACTGGACAAAAACAGGCAAAACAATGAAGACCAGCGAGTCTGTGGCCGTGATTACTATCCAGGGAGTGACCCTGGTCTGTCTCCATAGAAGCTACAAAACACTCTGGATAAAGTCGAGCAATGGACGAGGATCAGTCTGCTGAGGAGGTAATTGACACAAAAAATATAATAATAACTAGGTAGTGGAGTTGTGAGTTCTACTTCTAAATGCATGTAGTAGAAATACTCCTTTTTTCATTCATACTGCAATCTTATATTTTTATTCACAGAGTACATTTGTCGTGGACGAGATTACCACAGTAATCAAAGTAAGAATCTACTACATGACCTTACTGTGTAGATATGAAGTCAATCTTCAACTATCAATTCAGTTACTTCGTATGAGTAAAAACTTACAATATAATAATAATAATAATATAATATACTTTGCAATAATCACTAGTATTATGGGGGTCTTTTGACAACAGACTGTTAAAAAGCACCATTGGAAACAGCTCTTACCGACAATCAAACAGCGGATGTCAAGCATTGTAGAGTCAAGTCTAAGACAGCTAACTAAATTAGGAAAGCCTTTCAAGTACATGGGTATGATAACAGGCCATTTAAACTACAATAATACAAATGTAAAGGTATGGTACCTGTAATGTTCCCCCAAATTCATTCTCTTCTGTTTGTTCATCAAGTGACATGTATCATACTACAAAAAAATGGGGCAGGTTTGCAGACTGCCAGCTCGTGTTTCTGGGACAACAGTACAGATGGTAAGACATTGGAAGACTGGGTAAGTATTTCAGATTTGCTTTTCTTACTTTGAAGCAAAAAGGCCCAAATCCAAGCATAATCGAGAATTTGCTTTAAATGACATTGACTTTTGTTTTCCCACAGGGAGTTGCACGGTACGATGGGAGAATAAAACCATATACTGCATAGTTAGTGTTTTTGGGCTTGCCATTTGAGGATGAATATTAACATGTAGGCCGGTCTCCTGTTCAAAGATTACCAAACATTTTTGTAAGACTCATAAGCAACCAATGATGTCCCGGTTTAATTTGTAACTTGAATAAATTTATTTGCAATTCTAATTCTGCATATGTTTTCTTAGTGTTTATAAAACCAATTCAATGTAACGTGGATCCTTTGGAGTCATTTACAGTGATTGGTCAGATGTGTATACAAAACAGTTAACAGAATATGCATTTTCAAAGTCATTTGTTGTTCTTTTTTATTTGACCATATTTACAGATATAAACATTCACAACTTACTCAAGGTACCTAACCCTGGCAGCAAAGAATCAAAACTGTATCAATGATATAAAAAATACTATGAAAGTCTCTCAAATAAAAAAGTGGGCAACAGTTTTAACTGCCTTGGCGCCCAACAGAAGCTTATGCTTTAGTTTCAGAGGGTAAGAGATCGAGAATGGAGGCAAAGGACTTTGACCTCTCTAGAACCACCACAGGCTTCAAGAACTGAAGTTGTTTTATAGCTTGGTCCCCACAGCCCCCTAAAGCTCTCTCCAAAATCAGATGGAGATTCTGGATAGAGGTACACTCTCCTTTAGAGATCAAGTGCCTCAGAGGGGATGAGCGAAACTTGCGGCTTCGAGAGATTGGGGCTCCTCTCTGAGTATTCTCCTTAACAGAGCAGTTCCGTCTGAAACAATCGCGGCGGCGAGGTGGATCAGGTTTGAGACAAGGATTAGTAACCACTGCAGTCCACTGCTTTTCAAATTTGATCTCCTCCTCTTTCTCTTTAATGAACTTCAAGAATGATGATTCAAAGCCCATAGGTTTGTAATTTCCAATGTCAATAGCTTGTGGGGCTAGACTGTGCGTTATAGGGTCCTTTGGGATGGGTGAAAGAGGGACTGGAGGTGGTGGTTCAGAGAGTTCATTCTTCCGTCTGAGGGGCTGCCGAGTTGGGGTGGGAACTGATATGGAAACAGTAGAAGGAATGTTAATAGATTTACTGTCTTTACCAGAGGGTTCAAATGAACTTTCATCAACAGCTATTCTGAGGGTAGAGGGTGGAGAGAGGTCAAGCGGTGGAGGGCGTATAAGGGGAGGTGCTGTTAACTCCGACTCCGACCTGTCTTTGTGCCTTGGACTCTCCTCAGAAACAGGCTCTTCAGGGTGCCCACTTGACTTTGGGGAGCCATAGAGCAAATCCTCAGCAGCAATAAGCAAACTTCTGTCGGGGAGTGGCTCCCCTGAAAACTCGATCACTTCCTGCCCCTTTGATTCAGTTTTGATCGAATGGAGGCTCATTGGCAGTGGTGGCCCACCTGGGGTCGCAGGCTCGGACTGATACTCCATTTTGAGGACGCCATTTGGAATTCTGGTTAAATCCGGTATAGCAGACATGGCAGATTTCTTTTGTATTATCTCCTCTAACTTTTCAGCAGTGTAACATAATTTGTCCTTATTGTCAGTCAACTGTTTGTGTTGAAATTTGTGAACCCTAATATAATGTCGATTCAAACTATACATGCTCATGACTACGGAGTCACAATTCTGTACCATGCAAGGGAATGCCACAGGAAGGCAGCGGTCCTGACACATCTGCAAAGCCTCCTCATGTGTTCGGAAGACAATCAGGTCAAATCCTTTTTTTAGTTTGATTTTTGGTGTCTTAGGTACTTCGTCCAGTTCCTCCTCTGCAGTTTCTTCAATTGACTCAAAGTTCTCATCAGACTGAGAAATTTCCTGATCTTTGAGGCAGCATCTCAAAGGTTGCTTGAGAGGCAACTTTTGGGAATCTTTCGACGACTGGGAAGAAGGTGAGATGATTAACTTCGTTTGGCATCCACTGTTTGACTCATCTTTTTTAGGTGTACTCTGGAGACGCACCACAAGGGAATCAGAAGGATCACAGTGCCTATAGAAAACATGCTTTTTATAGCTTGATTTCAACTCATTTGCAGATGTAGCAGCTTGAATAAGAGGAGTCTGGTTCTGGTGAAACTGACTTGTGTGACGCAAGAGGCTGCTGTTGAGATGGTAGGATTCATTGCAGTTAGCATAGGTACATTTGAACCTTGGTATGGGCTCCTCTGATGAAGCCGTCTGTCTTTTTGTAATGTTCTTAGACTTGTGGAGCATTTTTGATGTAATTTTCTTTTTGTTAAAGTTGTGCTCTCTACGGTAGTGTTTAGTAAGACTAGACAAGTTGTTAAACTGCTTATCGCATCCTTTGTGCTCACATGGGAAGCACAACTGTGAGCGGTTATAGTGATGCACCAACTGAAGGTGGCCAACAAGGGCATTCTGATTATTGAAGGCAGCATTGCAGTTTTTATGAACGCAGTGAAAGGGTTTATTGTATTTAGTGAGGATGTAGCTCAGATTCCCTTTTGCAACCAAGCGGCGACTTCCCCTAACATCAACATTTGAGTGGTTTACATCAGCATCCGTTTCAGAAGGGACTTGGCTTTTCTCTTCGGCTTTAGCTTGTCCATTTTTCCTATTAAGTTTGCTCTTCCATAACCGATTATCTTGTTTTTGGCATTTCTGTTGCCACAGGTGTTTTTCTTGTCTTTGGGTTTTAACATCATCCATCTTCAAAGACTTCTTCCTGTTCCTCACCTTAGATGATGACACCACGGATGCTTTATCAACTAGCCTCCTTTTAAAAAAGCAGCTCATCTGCTCAACAACAGCTTTATTTATGTGATGCATTTGTATATAGTGGATCCTCAATCCTTTTTTGTTTCTGTAGCTCTTGAAGCAAAGATGACACTTGAAAGGCTTGAATGTTTGAGACTGAAACACCTCCATCTCTTTCACCTCTTTCTCAGAGTAAGCATGAATCTTAATGTAGTGCTGCATTAAAGCACGACTAGTAACACTCTGGTAGCGGCAACATTTAGCTTCACAGGTGTAAGGTTTTGTTGTGGCCTGCACAAGGAACTCGCTATGTGGTTGATTGTCCTCCAAGACAGAATTCTCAGTGCCGTCAGGCTTGAATGTTCGAGACTGAAACACCTCCATCTGTTCAACCTTCTCCTCAGAGTAACCATGAATTTTAATGTAGTGCTGCATTAAAGCACAACTAGTAATGCTCTGGTAGTGGCAGCTTTTGGCTTCGCAGGTGTAAGGCTTGGTTGAGAGCTCGCTTTGAAGTTGCTCCTTCTCAGAGTCTTTAATGCTGTCACGTGTCTGTGGCGATTCCGGCTTGCTTGGCAGCTTCTTTGAATCACTATTTGATACTTGAGTTCTCACCTCATTTATGTTGTTCGCTGCTTTGGTAGGTGACCTTGCTTTCAAGGTGGGTGTACAAGTGCTCTGTGAATTACGCATAGCATATCTGGTGCTGGGAGTATCAAGGCTTAGTTGATTCAATCCAAGCATGATCTCAGTTAGTGCTACACCAAGTTCCACGTTTGAAAGTGTTGCGTCACAATCTATGGACTCGGGAGCCGGTGAGGGAGTCTTTTCGTGATTAGATTCCTCTATAGATGACCTTCTTACAGTGTTATCCTGACCACTTTTTTGCAATTCTTTGGCTTGAGTCTTAGAATGCTTTGCTTGTACTTTCTTCTTGCATAATTGATCCTCCTCAATTAATTCGTCTGGATGAGCAATTCTCAAGTGCTTCTGAAGTTCTCTTGTGGTAGTAAATGTCCTTCCACAACTTTTTAAGCCACACGTAAATTTTCTACCATCAAAGCAGACAGCAACACATGTCAACGAGACCTTAGATTCACTGTTGGCCAAGAGCTGTGAAGAACTTGAACCTTTTGTGATGCCATTCTCTACTTCGACTTTTGACCCAGAGCTTTCCATAACTGGGAGCAAGAGTTTTCTTTTAGTTTTTCTCTGTGTCTCAAAGTCTTTCTCTGTAAAGGTGATGCCATGGGTTGCCAAGTGCTGAAGAAATTCTTTGCGAGAGTAGAAAAAGTTCTTGCACCCTGGGCTGGTGCAAGTGTAAGCAGCATCGCGGAAGTGCTGCGCCTCATGGTGGTAGAGCTGCCCAAGGTCACAATAGGAGAAACTGCAGCCTTTCAGCTCACAGCCATAGGACAAACGGAACCCATGACTATGCTTATGTGATATAAGTTCATTGGTGGTGTCAAAACGGGCACCACAACCTATGACCACACACATGTAAGGATGATCTCCATAATGGACCCAGCGGTGCTGGCGATGGTGATAGGCAGTCATGAAGGTCTTCCGGCAGAAAGTGCACTTCTCCCGATGGTCTTTCATTTCCAAATAATGTTTCAGGCTGGGATCTTCACTATCATGTTCATTTTTGATGTGCACACCCAAATATTTGAAAAGTTTAAAATTCCTTGAGCAGTTACTGGCTGGACACTGGTAAACATCACGATTCTGTAACTTATAGTGTGTTTTAATGTAGTCAAATGTAATATAGTCAATTTCTACTTCCTTATCAGGCACACTGGCAGCTTTCTCTAATATATGTTCTAATACAACAGGGTCATGGGTGGACTGATAGTACATGGCAAGAGAAGGGTCCAAAGGAATTTGACCAGGCTCTAACTCATCAAAACTATCCTCCTTGAAATATTGTTTTGGGTCCACCTTCTTCTTCACTTTTTTCTTTTTCCAGTGCCCCTCTGCAGGAATCTGAATGTGTTTTTTGCAGTGTGGCTCAAACTCCTTTTTACTTTTAAACTTTTGTAGACACACAGGGCATGTCCACACATCATCTTCCATGTGTTTTCTGGCATGCTGACAGATTCGTGTCTCAACCACTTCTTTCTGGCATATCTGACAGACAAATGTATTCTTCTCATGCTTGTCAGATCTCTTAGAGACATCTTCCGAGTCTTTTTGCCCCTTTTCGTTTTCTGTTCTTTCCACTGTCTGCTCTTGCTCAGTGCTGCTAAATACATTAATCTCAGAATCACCTTCTTCCTCCTTCACAGCCTCTTCATTCAAAACTCCTCCAACATTACACAGCTCCTCAGGTACTGCTTCATCCTCTACTTCTTCCTCAGGTTCCAGTCCCAGTAACTGAATGCAGGAGCGCTTCAATGTCTTCCAGTCCCAGAATTCAGGGTCAAAGGGCCAATGT